ATTGAAACATTCAGAGAAACAACAGAGGTCCTGATCCAAGCACACTGTAGCTAATGGAAAGATTGTTCTTGAGTCATAAGCGCAGGAACTAGGGATGCAGGGGGTGCTCCAACACCCTCAGGTTTTAGCTGGGTCCTGGCCTGCCGGTCTCCCAGTGCCCAGGTCCCAGCCCACCAGCCCCCAGGTCTCAGCTGCTGGCCCCCTGGTCCAGCTAATGGCTCCGGGATGGGGAAGGGACCAGGGGTAAGGGGGCTGGCTTTTAGCACCCCCACTATTCAATAGGGGGGTGGGATAGCTCAGTGGTTTGACCATTGGCCTGCTAAATCCAGGGTTGTGAGTTCAGTCCCTGAGAGGGCCATTTAGGGAACTGGGGTAAAAATCTATCTGGAGATTGGTCCTGCTTTGAGCAGGGGGATGGACTAGATGACCTCCTGAGGTCCCTTCCAACCCTAATATTCTATGATTCTATGAAGTGTTCCTGAGCCACCATCTTGAGTTCAATGGGATTGGATTAGGCCCATAATGGACACACTAACCCCCCATTTCAAACTAAGGTACGCAAATTCAGCTACGTTAACGTAGCTGAATTCGAAGTACCTTAGTTCGAACTTACCACGGGTCCAGACGTGGCAGGCAGGCTCCCCCGTCGATGCCGCGTACTCCTCTCGCCGAGCTGGAGTACCAGCGTCGACGGTGAGCACTTCCGGGATCGATCCCAGAAGATCAATTGCTTACCGCCAGACCCGCAGGTAAGTGTAGACCTACGCGATATGTCAGAGGAATGCTACTTCTCTAGAATTCTACATACACTCTAAAACAGTTACACTTAAAGTGAATATGTACCATCAGTAATCAGCACAGAAAACTAAATAATTACCAGCCTTCTCTTAGCTGGAACACCTTTCAAAACTCCCAAGACAAAAGACATGTATTTAATATAACCTGGACATACTACAATAACTTACATCACTCACTAGCTTCAATCTATCAATTGTAATATTAAAGCCCATATAGGACAACCCACATTTCAAAATCAACGTGCAGACAGGAGATTTTTTCAGATACTACTTATAAGAATGTGACCATTATAATGGAAGTACAATGGCAGAAGCTGTCACTATACTCTGAACATTTGCAGTGAGAGTAGAACATCAGGCAGGCCTATGTAGAAGAGCTCTGCTGTTAGTATTTGCCTATTGCAGACTATTATCTAACTGGGATTATATTTTTATATTTATTTCATGTGTTTGTTTAACTTTGGAACTGAGAGACGGTTTTGGCATGGAAGTGCCTTCATTTGTGTGGGAGCCAGGAACCAGGCTGGAGCTCACCTCTCGTATTAACAATGTGCAAGTCTTATGCTGTAAATATGAGTGTAAAAAACGTTGCTGAATTATAACACAATATATCAATATATATAGTATACATTTATCTGTCTATATCCCTGACTCTTGAGGTTTTCAAATATTATTGCATTATTTTAAATGTCTTTCTCACTGCCTTTTTAAAATGTCTTTCTATATATTCTGTAATAATAAATACCAAGATAATTAAAACAAATTTTATACAGTATGCAATGTGTTTCATTTTAATTAACTCTTATTTAAAAAAAAGTGAGAAGCTTCAACTACCCAAGTGTGTTCATATTATATATTATGCACATACATACACACAATAAGAATGAAGGTTACTAACTTGTAATTGAAGTTCTTTGAGATGAGCCTCTGCATATTCATACTTACGGAAATGCACCAATCGGTGTAACACAGACAGTACAGCTTTCTTCAAGCAGTGCCTATCAGAGTGCCTGCGTGTCACCTCCTACCTTTCATGAACATTCTGAGGGTGAGGCTATAAAAGAAGGCACAGAGCCCTCTACTGCCTCAGTTCCTTTCAACTGCAGCACAGTACACTACAGAAGTGAACCTCTGGATCCAATGGACATGGAGCTTCTCTCTTATTACCGTAATAGTTGTTAGTTCTTCTGGGTAATATGTTGTTGTTCTTAGAATTAGCCGTTTACAGGTAAAGTTAGTATAAGTTTTGTCTCAGTTCCTTTCAGAAGAGGATCTGAAGAAGTAGTAAGCAGGTTTCAAAAGATGTGCTTCCTGTCTGTCAGTTTCCCCAGCACTGGATGACTAAGTAAGGTACCTAGCATGTGTCGGCGAGGAACATTATTCATCTAGATGTACAATATATTCTACATTTATGTCTAGAGTATGCTAGGAGAAACTCAATAGACTTCAGGCACTCTTACTTCAGGAACCCCATCAGCTAAACCTTTCCAGATCTGAGAAATTGGCGCATAAAGGGAAGAGACCTATGTTGGTTCTATCTTCAGCACTTGAAAAAATTAAAGTGCCTAGGAAGAATGTTGAATTGGCACTGGATTTGCCTCCATGTATGTTCACACCGCTCAGAGGCCAGAACTTCAGATCTGCTCAAGGGTTCTAAAGTGCTTGGAGCATTTTCTTCAAAGGTGTTGAGCAAGCATAAGACTACGCCTTTGGATCAGTCAGTTGTGGTTCTGAAGAAGAAGGCTGCTGATAAAAGAGCCACTGTTAGCAGGGCCTGATCTCAGACAGGCAATTCATCAGATCCATCTGACTTGGATTCATCTTCCTCCTTTCCATGACAGACATCAGGATTGGGTCCATGAAGCACCCCCATCCTTGGACCTGAACCTGCAGATACAAGAATTTCCCTAGATCTGAAAACATCTAAAGTATCAGATTGATACCAGTAGTTTTATTAGCTTTGGCACCAGTATCAGATCTGAGAAAGACTGTGAGTGGTCCATCACAGTCAGTTAAATCAGCCTCTGGATCAGAGCGTCATATCTTTTGTGGAAAGAAGAGAGAGGTTCCAACAGTGGTTATTTCTCAATCTTCTACTCCTCATTAAAGGTGCAGGTTGGAGGACATTCTGAGCTTTACTCCAGAGTTGTCATGGCTTCCACCTAAGATTCCTACGAGATCACCAGGCAAATCTTTCTGTCAATTCAGACCTATCCATCTTCTGGTTCCAATGTTATCTTCTATAAGCTCTGTTACCCATCCAAGATTGGATCTACAAATAGAAGAGGATCGGGACAGATCTGCTCAACCTAGACAGCCTAGGTTTCAACTACCTAGGTCAGGGTTTATGGATCATTTGGATCTCCTTATCCCATGGGCATGTTTCCATACGGGTGGTTTTGGCAAGAATGGCAGCCTTGAACTCCATGGCCATACTGGCCTCCAACTAGGAAATTTATGGGATCTCCCCAATATGACTGATAAAGAGAGGCTCCTGTTGCTAAGAATGAGAACATATCAGTGCCTCTGGATTCTGTAGCCCCAGATCCATTAGTCTGCTGCTACTGTAATAGGTGATGTTTGTCAGAGGAAGATGAGGAAATAGTTGAGCATATGGAACATCAGCAGTTTAAGATAGTTCTGATTTGTTCCCAAATGAAAATGGGGGCATATCCTCTATGTTTTCTCCTTCTGAAGATGCTCTCCAATTGTGTGAGCTAGTGTGGTTTCAACAATAAAGTTACCTTTTGAGGCTGTGGAGGAAGCTTCTCATCTCGTGTTTGATATTTTGGGAACTCCCTCAAAAATAGTTTCTTTCCCTATTTTGGATTTAAAAACAAAACAACACCACCGCCAACAACAGCCTGCAAAAACTAGTTGGTCCAATTCAGCTTTTTGTCCACTCATTTCTAAGAAAGCTGATAAACTGTACCAGGCTGTCATATCCCATTACCATGTCATTTACGGGATAAGATGGAGAAGGTTCTACCGTCTAGTCTGCATCAGGTGGCACATTCCCATGAGTGGGAATATGCAGATGCCACTCAAAGAAGAACCTGGGGTATATTGTATCTATAGTTTGCAGGCAGATAAAGGTATAATACATTATTGGCCCAGTCCTGGTCTATGGACTTCAATGGAAGAGTCAGTATCTGTAATATACATGGCCCTAGTTTTCAAAGATGTGCATGTCTAAGTGCTCACATCCAATCTGGCATATGAATCCTTACTGTATGCAAACAAGCAGAGATTACACACACACATACACCAGAATGTGCAGGAACAACCCCCAGCTGTTGTGTATGCACCAGGGATGTGTACACCAAGGTCTGCACACACATAAGGCAAACTCACCTTGGAGAGTTTGGATCAAAATATGTTGTTCTAAATTGTAAAGATTAGTGAGGACAAAAGTGACATTAAAAACAATTATAAAATAGCATTTGTTGGGGAAGCAATCACATTTGCTGACAAGTGATCTGAAATGTGTGGCTTTTAGAGCACAAAGCAAATTCTGTTTTCAGGTACACATTTGTAGCCCCAGGTTGTATGCATGAAACTGACAGCTGAGTTCAGATACGCACCTATGTATTTTCAAACTAGGTAAAACATTAAACACTGTAGGTGAAATTTTCAAATATGAAAATCCCAGCCCTTTTCTATAATTGTGATAATAGCAGCACAGTTATGGAGTGGTATGGTTACTAAGTGTGCAGTTTGGTTTAAGATATATAGCTCTTGCTCACTGGAAGCATTTGGCCTTCAAATGTCGGCCTTAGTATTTGTAGGCCTAATCCTGCAAAATTTATGCACAGAAGAAACTTTACTCAAGTGAGAAGGTTCATGAACTTAAATGAGATCACCTCAGCGGAGCAGAGTTACTAACATGCTTATTTACAGGATCAGGCCCTGTGGCATTGCAAAGACCATTTCACATGTATTGTTTCAATCACCACATATAGAATAAACTGAAGAATTAGGCATACATTATAACACTATAGGCAAAGGCATGAAGTCACATAAATCAGTTGCAAAGTAAGGAGCATATATTGAAAGCACTGTGAATCTGCATTTTATGATGTTCCCTCAGTGACATGTGTGTTCCTAGAAGAGCTGATATATTATATTTTCCTTATATTGTGCTATTCCACATATCTCAGTAAAATTATTAGGGTAGTCCTATGAAGAATAGAAATAACTTACCTATTCATTTCTTCAAGACAGTCAGTTGCAAAGTAAAAGCTCTTAATTTTTGGGTGGCATGCTTTGAAGGCACTGTAAAACAAACAAAGGAGAAAAATGTAGTTTTCTTTTCAAATAGTTTGTCTATAATGACTTTATTGCCCTTTGTTGATAAATTTACATGATGAGGTTGAAAAGTCCTCCTCAGACTTACTTGCTCTTGGGTTCTTCAGAATGTTATAGAGTTACACATACATTTTGCTATGTAAGTTCAATGAAAAATGATAAAAGACAAAAACACCTTATCATCTATGGATGAAAACTTTTCAAAGTGATCATTCTTTAATTGACCTCTCAAGTCCTCATCCTCAAAGGAAACCTGAATAACACCTTCAAAAGATGAGCCTGGGAGCTTAAATTCTTAACTTTGATAGGCACTAAAAACCATGGACTTTATAAAGACACTGGATTTATGGCTCATTACAACAATCTGTAACTCACTAATCACCCTTCCCCTCCTATGACTGCAGAAGTATTAACTGGCCATTTCACCTTGAATGGTCTCCTACAATATGTATTACTACTACTAACGGTTCCAATGTGTGGAACTAAACAATCAGTTCCACCTTATATTTAGCTGTGACACTGAGTACATTTCCCAGGCCTGACGAAAAGCTCTGTGTAAACTTGGAGTAGGTCTACACTTACCCCCGGGTCCGGCGGTAAGCAATCGATCTTCTGGGATCGATCTTCTAGACAAGACGCGATAAATCGATCCCAGATCGATCCCGGAAGTACTCGCCGTCGACGCCGGTACTCCAGCTCAGCGAGAGGAGTACGCGACATCGACGGGGGAGCCTGCCTGCCTGCCGCGTCTGGACCCGCAGTAAGTACGAACGAAGGTACTTCGAATTCAGCTACGTTATTAACGTACCTTAGTTCGAAATGGGGGGTTAGTGTGGACCAGGCCTTGGAAGCTTTGCCTCTTTCACCAAGATAAGTTGGTCCAATAAAAGACATTACCTCACCCATCTTGTCTCTCTAATATCCTGGGACCAACATGGTTACAACAACACTACAAAAAAGATCCGGTAGCACCCAGGATAAATTTACCAATTCACTTCTGCATTTGTTTTGTCTCTCTAATCAGGGGCTTTTAATTCAAATTGAACTTGATGGCAGCAATCTTGGTACTCTGGGGGATATAAGAAATATATGCTTTGCTGACAAGTGAACAAAAATGTGGAAGCTCTCATTAGTGGGGGCCACTCATCCCTGAGTTCAGAAACAGCTTCTAAGAGTGAAACTTAAACCATCCAAACCTCGGGTGGTCTTGGGGTTTGTAATTTTCTAGCTTTGATATTTTTTGTTTGTTTCTTGTAGTCACAATGGACCCAATTAACCCCTGATGTAACTTCATGGAAGTCAATGCAGTTACATCAAGAGTGAATCTGACTTGATATCTGAAGCTGTCATCAGCTGTGTGGTCAATGTGTTATCTTTCACATACAACTTTTTCACAGATGAATTTTCTTGCTGTCTAGATTATTTACCATTTCTTCTGTTTTGGGACCAGTCTCTGGCTAGTGGTTCAAGATGTGTATATCTCTTTGCATCTATTGTAGCATCATTCTCTTATAAAACTCCTGGAAAGGCATTCAGCCAACAGTTTTCTGTTCTTTCACTAAAGAATTCATCCCAGGTCACTGCAGAGCTACTGCTAATATCCCACAATGTGTAATCTTTCATTTCCTGAAAGGCTGTCATTTCAGAGTAAATATCCACTGTTCATGTAAAAAAGTCACTTCCTCTGTTACAATTGCTCTGGCATTAGTTAGCAGAAAAATGAAAGAAATTCCTTAGTCTGTAGTTTTGACTGGTAAAATGGATAAGATGAAGAGTTGTCCACTAGCAAAATAACTTTGGAGGGTAGAATAGGTGATGATTCTGCAGGTGAGTATGTGACTACAGAGACAAAACTCTGTACTTTACATAATTTATTAACCCTATCTTCAGTTATCTATATGTTTGTTGAGTTTACATACTTTGCTGTCAGTATTATATGCTTAAAGCATGTGGGATTTGCATACAGAAAAAATAATCTAATTTTATTATTAACAATACAATGTGCACAAGTCTCAGGCATCATTATGAACAGTCCATGCTAGCACTGATCTTGGATTCAGTTGATGAGGACTTCTGTGAATCCTGTTTTAGATTTCATATGCAATAAACTGTGGAAGTAACATTTTGTTCATGATAGTTAATAAATGTCAAAAGTGTGTTTGTCTTAACAATACTATACACTGTATGATACTCCATAAAATTCCCCTTAAAATATGTGCCTCCTGCTATAAAAAAAAGTGTGTGTAGAGGCAAAGAATCATGCTGATATATTCATTTTTAAAACGTTATCTTAGCTCTATTTTAATAGAAACTCAAGTTAATGTGGTGCTGTGAAAGAAACAAGACTGACAATGTTACAGACTGACACCCTTATCTACAGAACAAGCAAGCTTCTTGCACCCAACACTGCAAATATGTCTCAGATCTGGTCTATGAGATCATCTCGTGAAGTAGGCCTGTAGTTCATTATTCTTGCGTATTCAGTCCTTGGCTTATCTTTTGACACTGCCCGCATGGGTTCCAATGATATGGACAGCTGTCCACCAAGAATTGGATTGAGAACCCCAAATTATTTTCCATGCAGGTCCTTAAAACAGGTATCTGATGAAAATACATAGACAGTGAACCTAGAGATGAATGGCTTTGTATCCTATTATTAATTTCAAAATCAATTATGTGGAAAACCATGGGGAGGCTTAGTCCTTCAAAGTTAATGGATTGTTATCTAAAAGCACCCATTAAAATGATGTATTTTGGATATGCTCCCTAACTTGAAAAATGTTCTTCTGCCAATGTCCTGATCCATCCAGCATAGTCAAAGGCAAGCATCATGCTCCACAACAGCATTTATCAAACTGTTGTCTGCGGAGCACTGGTGGTCTGCAGAGAGCTAGTTGGTTACATGGCGCTCCTTTTTTCTAGCTGCTTTTACAGGCTAGAAGTGGCCCACTTCACTTGTCCATATACTTCACTGAAAGAACAGCTTAGATGCCTATAAAAGGAGCTGGAAAGAAGAAGGAGTCCTAGTATTTGTTGCTGTGTAAGAGGATGCAAAGAAAAAGGAACTGCTGTCAGGAAGCAAAGCCACCCGTGGGACAATAACAATTAGCTAAATACTCTATTATTTGTTACCACAGGGATGTTGCAAAGTAAAAATTGGAAGGTAAGTGGTCTTCCCAAGTTAAGGGGCAGGTGGCTTGCACAAAATTGAGGTGAGGTGCCCATCTGAATGGGAGCAGTGGTGGTTCACAAGACACTGTCATTCACACTACGAAAAAATATGATAAACCCTGGTGGTAACATGGTGTTCAAGGCTAGGAGCTAAGACTGCTTAGTTCTAATTCATTCTTTGCCATTTATTATGCAGCCTTCGGCAAATCACAAATCTCTCTGCCTCAGTTTCTCTGTCTACAAAAAAGGGATACTTACCTCACTTGGTTGTTGCAATTAGATAACATTTGTAAAGTGCTATATAAGTCCTAAGTGCTCTTATCGTAGTCATACCCACATATCGTCCCACTTCCTTCATATTAATTCTTTCATTACTGATTATCTTTAATAGCTGGATTCTGTAATAATGGCTTTAAAATTGTTTCTACATCTGGACCAGAATTAATTTTATATTTAAAAAGTATAAATATAAGATGTCCAAGGACATGATTTTGATTTTACATCTGCAGGTATGTTTTCACAAACACCAGAAGTTTTTGTATGTACACAAACTTAGTTATAAGATATGCAGGAAAATGCATGTGAAATTAATCAGGCCTAGTCTGATTAGAAGATCCAATAATATTGCACATGTGGAAAGATGGCTAAAACCAAAAAACACACAAGGGGACTAATTCATGTTACTACTGAAATAAATGGAGTTACACCAAGGAATAATTTGACCCATCACATATGTATTTTGTACAATTAACTGAATACTTTTTTTTATAAAAGCAAAGCACTCTATTTATACTTTAACAAGAGGAAATCTCCTTTCCTTCTGTCCTCTTCAGAATCTGATCTTATATCAGATATCGTATTTGTTACCTCCAAATACCTCCAATGTTATTTCATTTACACCAAGGGGAGTTGGATTAGGCCTTGCAATAATGCCATTTATGATGCATTTTGATGGTTCCAGATATATTTAGCCTCTTTTATTAACAGTTTTCCAGTAGCAGTGTGGGGGTTATGTGCATGCACACATGTACATTTTGCTGCAACTATATTTATGTGGTGTTATTTCTTTAGCAAATATATATGCTCATTGTTGAACTCCTATAATGGTTCATCATAATCTGTACTGTAGTGTATCTAGAAAAAGGTCCTTTAATAAATATGGTAAAAAGCAAAGCAAACAAAATGAAATTACTATTACTTTATAGTGACATTATAATTTATTACGGGTTTTATCACAGAATTTACTACCATAATAGTGAGTTTCATGTCTTTTTACTGAATTTCTGGTATCATTGACATCCTCTTGCCCTCTGAGGGAGGTTGAATTCTGGCCTCAGGATTTCCTCAGGCAGAAGGGTGATGGCTATGTATTTTTTCTGGGTCCAGGTTTGTGCAGTGTGCAATTTCCAGGTCTTTGCTGAGCTACAGAACAAGTTTCTTAAAAGTGTGTGCCAAACTCTTTTGTTTGGGAAAGCCATTGGTGCGGCATCAAAGGAGTGTCTTAATATTTGTACTTGTTTTATATAAGTGCAATTTTAAATAGAATCTTGGCTGCACTGTTTTACCGTGAGATGCCTAGAATGGCATGAGGGAAAGCAGCCGTAAGATTACAGGCTCTGTCCTATATTCCTAGTGCTCTCTCAACTCCCATTAAAGAAAATGGCCCCAGCTCCTTGGCTAGTGTACTTCAGCCATGCTTCATGGACTTCAGTGGATTGACAGATTTATATTAGGCAAGGATTGTAGTCAGTAGGCCTGATTCTCATATCATGCTGGCATCAGGCGAATTTAACTCCATTGATTTAAATGGAATAACTTTCATGAGGTCACAATCAGGCCCAATGGGAATTGTGAACATTCATCACCTTGCAAGACTGGCCCAATATAGTACATATAGGTATGCATCTTTTTTTTAAAAAACCTCTGCTTTTCCTGAGTCATCCTCTTTTGCAATAAAATAGCTGTTGAGAGCGATACTAGCTTTGTGTAGCTCACATTTCCATAGTTGTATGATAGGGGATATTCTTGACAAAGAAACAAAGTCCTCAGGAAATGAAGGCATCCATTATTTTGATTACTTATGATATATTCCATGATTAATAATATTTTGCAATATCTGAATTAGAATACCCAGGCTTGTATGATAATTAATAGATGTAAGAATTGGCTCAGCAAACAGTAAATATATAGTTATGAAAAAAGCTGAGATGAACACTAGTGTTATTAATATCCTTAATGTAAACCACACTGTAATATTTACCATTATGATTTATTCTGACTTTCAGAGACACAAATCAACGCTATGGAAATCCCAGTTTCGCTGATTTCTTCTACACCCCATCATTAACATTAATACATACAGTAACAGAATTTTCCGAGACAAATGCATTCGAAGGCAGTAAATGTGGAAACAGCATAAGAATACAGAATCCTCTGCCTGTACAAATCTGTTGGCAAATTAATTATTCATTGGGGTGAAATTCACCCCTGGGCAATGGCTAAGCATGAAGCCCACTTAAGTCTCACTTCAGCCCATGAAACAGGACTGAAGTTACTTACAGGCCTTGAGCTGGCCTTGTAGTAAATGTTAATTTCACCCATAGACATTTTATACTCTTATCTCACTGACTGATTACTGGTCATTTGTGGATGATTCAATTGTATCACAATCTGTTATGACCAGAATTTGATGTTTAATGAAGTTATGAGGACAAAATATCCATGAGAAATGAGTTATTAATACCAGTTGGGGAGATGATGTAAAAGTTAAAGTAAATAAGCAAAAGTACAAAAACACTGTTAATATTAAAGACTAACAGATTTATTTGGGCATAAGCTTTCGTGAGTAAAAACCTCACTTCTTCGGATGCATAGAGTGAAAGTTACAGATGCAGGCATTATATACTGACACATGGAGAGCAGGGAGTTACTTCACAAGTGGAGAACCAGTGTTGACCAGTGTGAAGTAACTCCCTGCTCTCCATGTGTCAGTATATAATGCCTGCATCTGTAACTTTCACTCTATGCATCCGAAGAAGTGAGGTTTTTACTCACGAAAGCTTATGCCTAAATAAATCTGTTAGTCTTTAAGGTGCCACCAGACTCCTTGTTGTTTTTGTAGATACAGACTAACACGGCTACCCCCTGATACTTGACACTGTTAATATTGTAATTGTTATAAATATTACTTGCGAATTGAATTAACTGGAAAAATTCTGTTTTGCAAATGTAAATAGTGAATTTCAGAATGAACAACCCCTTAAAAGAAATGGAACATTCTTATGGTGCCCACTAGATGGTGCACACTAACTAATTATATGTATTATAAGTCCTTCGATTTACGACACCCGACTTATGTTGGATGTCACTTACGACACTTTTCAATTGACTGCCTGTTTTACTCCTACCGAAGCTTGTTTCGCCCTTACAATGCTCGATTTGCATAAAGTTTGCTTGAAATCAGTTCGTGATTGTGTTATACTGGTATGGAGCTGGAAGGGGTCGCTTCTGATTGGCTTCTAGTCAGCAAGGTAGCTTGTTGCCAGGTAGGGTTGCTGCTTGTTTTTGATTGGCTCCTGACCCTGGGTTCAGCCAATCAGAAAGCTTGAAGAGTGATTGGCTGAGGCTCAGCACGTGTGCCATTCTCCCTGGCTTTCTGAGCCTGTGTTGTCAGCATTCTGAGCAGCATATATGAGTTTATATGTTTATTTGAATGCTGTTTACAAAATACAGTGTATAGTAAATACATTGAGGTTGCAACATTAGTCATCTATAATTCATTTAGTACAAAAATCTGTGTTATTGTGGTGAAAACGGTGTATCAAGCCTTGGTTTTTGTAAAGGGAAATCATGGCTCACCAATCTACTAGACTTCTTTGAGGGGGTCAACAAGCATGTGGACAAAAGGGATCCAGTGGATATAGTGTACTTAGATTTTCAGAAAGCCTTTGACAAGGTCCCTCACCAAAGGCTCTTAAGCAAAGTAAGCTGACATGGGCTAAGAAGGAAGGTCCTCTCATGGATTAGTAACTGGTTAAAAGATAGGAAACAAAGGGTAGGAATAAATGGTCAGTTTTCAGAATGGAGAGAGGTAAATAGTGGTGTCCCCCAGGGGTCTGTACTGGGCCCAGTCCTATTTAACATATTCATAAATTATCTGGGAAAAGGGGTAAACAGTGAGATGGCAAAATTTGCAGATAATACAAAATTGCTCAAGATAGTTAAGTCCAAGGCAGACTGCGAAGATCTCTCAAAACTGGGTGACTGGGCAACAAAATGGCAGATTAAATTCAATGTTGATAAATGCAAAGTAATGTACATTGGAAAACATAATCCCAGCTATAAGACAGGGACTTTTCATCTTGGAAAAGAGATGACTAAGGGGGGATATGATAGAGGTCTATAAAATCATGACTGATGTGAAGAAAGTAAATAAGGAAGTGTTATTTACTCCTTCTCATAACACAAGAACTAGGAGTCACCAAATGAAATTATTCGGCAGCAGGTTTAAAACAAACAAAAGGAAGTATTTTTTCACACAACGCACAGTCAACCTATGGAACTCCTTGCCAGAGGATGTTGTGAAGGCCAAGACTATAATAGGGTTAAAAAAAGAACTGGATAAGTTCATGGAGGATAGATCCATCTATGGCTATTAGCCAGGATGGACAGGGATGGTGTCCCTAGCCTCTGTTTGCCAGAAGCTGGGAATGGGCAGCAGGGGATGGATCACTTGGTGATTACCTGTTCTGTTCATTCCCTCTAGGCACCTGGCATTGGCCACTGTCAGAAGACAGAATACTGGTCTAGATGGACCTTTGGTCTGACCCAGTATGGCCGTTCTTATGTTCTGTAAATCCCATCACAGTAAGAAATCTTTATCTACTTCCTAATTAATATACTTTCCTCCCCAGAGTCTTTCATTTAATTAAAATAGGAATTGGGTATCTGGATAGCTAAGAAAATAATTTTCTAATTGTTTGTATTTGCATTACAGCTTATGCCACTTAGTCCAAGTTACATTTTTAAAGTAAATAAGAAACACCGTTGCCCATGAGGCTGTAAAACAATATCGGTCTGTTTTAGGGTTTTCTATATAACTCCTTTTCTGGAACTTTTTGCATTCTTAGTACAGATTGCAGATAAAGACAGACAGACCACTTTCTCCAGTGCCATACTTTACACAATATCCTTACAAAGGTGGTCCTTTCATTTGTAGAACAGTTTGACTCATACTCACTGTTTCCTTCTGCATTCAATGGCTCTATCTATCCTGAACTCAGGTAAACTGATGAATCCTTCTGCTTTTTCATCCTATCACAAGAGAGGAGGAAGTGCAGGTGAAAATGAGTACATTATTGAGAAAGAGAGAAATGAGAGGTGAGAACTGTACAGCTGTGACTTATGGTCCAAAGCCAGGTCAAGTCGAATTAATAAAGATAAAGAATACATTGTTCCCACACCGTTAATTCATGAAGATAGTTTACTTAAACATACGCTGTTGACAGTTTTTTATAAAGTGACTGACTTGTCAGTTCTCTAATCATGCCACAGTAACACCAGCCCTTCTGTGTTAAAGACAATACAGAGAACATTCAAATGTGAAAACTACTTTCAACATCATACCAGGTATTTGAACCCATTATTAATAACTCTACAGAGAGGTTCTCAGATTTTTTTAAAGAGTATATTACATCTTAACAGTGATTGTATTGTGGACACTTCCCTTCCTAATGGTGACTGAAAACATTACTGCGGCAATTTCAACAATTGTTTGCATGGAAAAGTAATATTAGGAATGTATTTCGTGTAATTTTCATTTTCTTAAACGTGATTTAACAGTGGAAGAAGAAGACCAGCACAATTTGACCAGCCAGCTTTCTGAAGACCACCCATAAGCGCTGCGCAGATCACTGATGGTTCATGTACCACACAGCCTGGGAACCACTGGCACACATAAGGAGCACCATCAAACATCTGCAGACACATCAGTAAGCCAATATACACACAACACAAGCATACACTCATACTGTTTTATTATTACCCCCAGCATAATCTAAGAAAACCAAATTTTAAAAATAAGTCTCCATGACTCAAATCAACTGCTCTCCTGAGTCAGGTTTTCACATTTGGTTTAATTTTTAGAATGTAGGAATGAACTCATCCCAAGTGTAACTCATGGCTGAATTTCCCCACACTGTTGATAATAGGGCAAGATGACAGCAAACATCTTGTTAACCTAATTAATAACAAATATGGAAAAGAAGTACTGTTTATTGCTGGCCCTTGTAGTTTTTGAAGAATGCCATGTAGCTTTTTTGCTATTTTATTGTTAGACTCACACATAGATGATTGAAAACTTCAACTGAATCATTGCAGCTGAATTTTTTCCTGTCCAGACCCATGTATCACAGACTCATGTCCAAGCAGAAATACAGTAAACTTTGTGTATTTAACTACTAATTGGTAAATATTAGCTTCCTTTATTTAAAAAGTAGCAAAATTTAATGTAGGCTGTTTTTTCTCTTTCTTTCATTCAAGCGTAGCATATACTTACATTCTGGTTTGTGTACCAGTACAGTGAAGAATCCTTCAGAATAAACCAGTATTTTTTCCATTTCTGTGTAAAGTAACCTTTGGCATCTTTTTTCTTCCACAGCCAGCCCTCACAATCTCCATGGCCCAAGTCTTTGCAGGAAATCCGCCTCCTGCTCCCACTAGTCAGAGAGCTCCCTGTAAATGGGAAGATAACGTGAGAGACTGAGGGATCCTATTGCTATAAAAATAAATACAATAACTTACTTTTTAAAACTAGTGATGAGCCAAAACAGGAAACTCTAAACTGAAACCCTTCAAATTTCAGGGCGGAGGGTGGTTCAGATTATAATTCCTGAATCTAGACATGTCCTATGATTTTGGTTTCCAGATGGATGCAAAAATAGAAGAGGCATGGTTTATAATTCTGGATTGGATTGAATAAAATCGTATCCAATTATTTAATCTCAAAGGAGTTTTGTCATATGGGGCCAAAATCTCATGAGAATAGTTTGTGATATTTTGGCATCATCAAATCCAAACCAAAAACCTTGTCCTGATTTGGCCTTTAAGTGGCATAAACTTAAATCTTGATCCAAATCCAAACACCACTTCCTCAGTCCGTTTTTAGTTCTTAATTTTAGCAGCCCTAAAATAAGTCAAATTCTGGTAAGGAAGTTTATCATCATTCCATAGGAATCATGGAACAGTAAATGCCCACAATATTTGTATTCTGATTTTAATTCATCAACAATATTCTAGATTTACTGAACTTAGTTTAAACACATCCTAGCTGATAACCCTGATATGTCACTCTGTCTTACAGATATCACTATCAAACAGAATTTTTTCTTAGTATTGTATAATTTTTCCTTAAAAGCCCACGGCAAAGTTAATTAAAACATTAGATGCTTTACTGTGAAAAATCAAATTTACATTGTTACATAAATTATATTTGTCTGACAGCTGTGAAGCAGTGCCAGAAGGTTAGATCACATTAAATTACTACCCCTTTCTTGATAGTATTCCATTGATCTTAACATTTTGTTCTTTTCAAAATAAGATACTGCATCCTGATCAGCTTTAGAAATACTACAAATTTATTGACTGAGTAAAGGAGAAGTCTTTAGGCAGTGAGTTAAAACTACAAACAGAATAAAAAGGCCAGTTTGCATGTACTATATATAAATTATACCAGATTATTTTTAATTCCCTAAATATATTATAGAATGACAAAAGAAGTGCCTTTTTATTTTATAACTTTTTATCAAAAGTTTGTTTTCTTGATATTCTCAAATAGTTTATGTTTTTTTTTAAAGAATAAAGTAGTAAGAAATGGCATAATATATGTCTTTCTCCCACTGAAATCAAAGGAAGTTTGAACACTGATTTTAATGGGATAACAGGTCCATAGTACGGTTCCCTTGAGTATTTACTAGCAAACATGTAGATAAATATATATGATATCTGGAAATACATGAATCAGGTCTGATGCCAAGAGTGGATCTGTATACGTGACCCACACACCTCCCATTGCCATAATAGGGCCTTCATTTTCTAAATTCTGAATATTTATTAACGCCAATGGTTTACCTTTGGACCATTTTTTGGTTTTTACCCTCAGGGAAGCGTAGTGGAAAGACTATAAGGAGAGAAAAAAGTATGGATGAGTACCAGTGCATGCAATATTAAACCATGTTATTATGTTGATATACTGTAATCTCTTCATTAATTATTGTTTGTGCCCACGATCTTCCTATCTCTGCCATTTCAAGCATGAGAAAATCTTAATTTTTAATAATCATATAATAAAATATGGTTACAAAAGTAACACAAATTGCAGTTATTAGGTAGCAACAAAACGGTAGTAATAATTGGCGGTACTGAGCAATCACTATAATCTCCTTTGGTGTTATTTTGTTTTATAATAATAGGAGGATAAAAACAAACAACAAACAAGCAGAACAATGCAATGCTAAACAAATAAGCATACATCTCTATTTTCACAGAGCTACCTGGGGTATTTTGCCACATGCCTCCCCATTAAGTCAACAGGAGCTCTCTGACTGAATCCTTATGCAGTAGTGAGGAGATAATTTCATGAGGGTTTCACAGGCATTATATAATAACAAAAAGTCACATATTCATTCATTTTAAGAATAAATTAAACTGTTACACCACAACTAATCAATTCAAGGAGAAATTTCTGTCCCGAATCTTATAAAGTTAATACGTGATCTTAGCCTTTGTTTAATGCCATATTAGTGGGAACTCGTATACACATCCTCCAATTATATTCATGTACATGTCTGCTGTAGCAATGAAATGACACACAAAATTTAGAAACAGAGCATCATTTTATTCTTAGAGTGTGAATAACAACCATTCTTTTGTGACCGCAGAATATACCATTAATTCTGAAAACAATAGAAAGTAAGTCATTTTTATACATTTTAAAACATAAGTATTATTTCATGGAGAGTGGGGAGATTTTTTTATGCATGGGAATGGCACGGGAGAAAGAACAGGCCAGCTTGAGGGAGAAGTGGACTGCTGGCAGCTGAGGCTGTAGTCACTGGCAGAGCAAAGGCAAGGAGTTCATGGTGTCACAGACACATATGTAGGACAGGGTCGTGTGGTAAATGAAAGGCCGTCTTTTTCATCCGTTTTGTTCTGTCTGACATATAGATTGTGAGCTCTCTGGATCAGGGACTGTCATCTTTGCTATTTGTCTGTATAGTGCCTAGCACATTGTGGTCCTAATCCTTAACAGGGGGTTCAAGGTGGTACCATAATACAAATAAATAAAAAATAATATAATGTCTACATCCATCACTAAAAGTACATGTATTTCAGGTGTTTTTACCATATTAAACATATATCTGTAACACTCTAGTAACTTGAAGAAGTTGTTGTGGTTAAGCAGCAGGTTTTTTAAGGAAGTAGATCATAACCATAAGCAATAGATACAATAATCTAAGCAAATCAGAGTGCAAGAAACTGTACAGTCATTGAGACTTAACTGTACAGTGGTTGTTTCCCCTTTTAGTACGATTCTTTGGCTCTGCTTGCCTCCAAGGGGTGGATTTGTCTTTGTAGGGCTATTTCTCAATAACCGTATAGTATGTGAATCCCTTTAATGGGTGACACCCCTTCCTGTCAACTGTGCAGGTATTTGCATAATCCCACATTAGTTATTTCTCAATGACCACACTGCACTGCTTTTTGCTCTGGTTTGCTGCTATAATCACTTTCTGCCCAGACTGGTTCTTGTTCTCAGGATTTTCAAGCTGATTACCAGCAAAAATGACACCACCTTAGCTTCTTAATTCCTTAACATGAAACAGAAGAACATCACTACTGATATGAAAAGCAGAAAAAACAAAGAAATTCACCTTTTCCAAAAACAAAGAAACCCCTCAAATGCAAAGAGAATGGGGCTGAGAAACTGTTTAAAGGGAAACTGTTTTCTAAACATTTTTAAAAACCAAACCCCAAATCCTTTTGAATCATTACCCTCCCTCAGGCTGTATCCTGATCCCACTGAAGTCAATGGGAGCTTTGCTACTGTTCAGTGGGAGCAGCCTTGGGTCTTTTATCTCATTTCTATTCCCATCTCACTCTACAGGCCAGCAGGGCTCTTCTTGTTGGTTTACATAATCTCTTTCTCCTACTTCAATTCTGGAACAAAATGAAAACAAAATATACTACAATCTGAGAGGGGAAGAGCTTGGCTGGAACACAGAAAGAAAAGGGAGTGAGGAGAGGAAAAAAGATCTGCTGAAGGCTAAAGGGAGAGAAGGGGAATGGGTAGGAAGAAAGACTCAGATATCAGGATGATGTCCATGATATGCATGCCTAGACATGAATAATATAATCAGTACAGTAGCCCAGCCCTGTTATTTATTTTGATATTAAATTTATTTTATGTCTCCACATTTTATTTTCAACATGTTGTATATTTTTGAATTGATAATGCCTTATTTCATCTCAGAAATTGTCATAGGGCTAGATAACATTTTTACAGATGGGTAGGACATAGCTATGACTTCTGGTCCCTAGAGAAGTATGGGAGGAAGTTTGAGATTGTGAGAAAAGCACATTAACTGGATATTTCTGCTAAAATGATAATCAGTGAGACAGTTATTGTTAATATTAAAATGTTATCCTTCAGAGTTAACAACCAAGTGGAATACATGGGGCAGATATTACCTAAGACCTATTGTTTCAGCCTATATGCATATGCAGGCAGACATTAGTTTATACTCCATTCCTGTTTTCAATGTTATCTCTGCAACCAATATGGGCTAAAACCATGGGCTTTTTAAAAAAGAAAATTTAGATTCTGAAGCTCAGTTGTGCACAGCAAGTTCCGTAGCCATGAAGTGCAGAACACCTGAAGCCCTGAATATAATATTAGATCATAATAATAAACAAATGTGGGATGGCAGCTTAATTTAGACTATCTGCTTACCGTTTTAGACCACAGTGAAAAGTTTAAGATAGTACTCTAAATTGGTGAACTTATATTTTTATTTCCACACAGCCAATTTAAACATACAAAACTGAGTATTCTTAAATTTGTTGCAAAAATATTGTTTTTGGGTTGAAACTTTGTGCTGAATTTCAATTTTCATCAAATTCTTACTGTTCAGTTATTTCCCCCTGAAAACAGATATTTATTACAGGAAAACTGACAGAATTCAAATTATATTGGGCCAGATTCCTTCCATTATCATTTCTTCTATATTATAAAAATTGTATAAAATGAGACATGGGCATTCAGTGGTCTATTAGCTTAGCAAGATCTTTCTGTTCAGGGAGGACATTCTGTAAAAGTAGCATTTTTCTGAATAAATAGACCACATAAAAGGCCAACAAATATCACTGCAAATACACCCCATTATGCTGTTCTTTTCATCAGAAATTCCCCTGACAGTCTAGCCTGAAATGAGAGACAAAAATAGCTGAAAAGTTACTCAACAGTGCAAGACTGTTTGCAGATACATCAGATATTCTGAGTTAGCTCAGCACAAAGCAAAGATTAAGTATAAATCCCAACAAGATGGCATTATTAGACTGTGACTATAGTTTGGACCACAGAGGGAAGCTGTAAATACCAACAGTCCTTTGGAGCTATGAAATAACAATGAGAACCTGAAAAAAATTGTGCAGTTACAGAGTTACAAATAAGTGCAACTATTTTTTACTACTTTAAAAATTTATGATTGTATTAGTTAGAGAGGGGTTTGGGTACAGAGGCAATTGCAATTTAGTGGTTAGAGCAGAGGACAGGGCATAAGGGACTTGGGTTCAACTGATGATTCTACCAGTGACTCATTGTGTAACCTTGGATGAGTCACTTTTCTACGTGTCTCAGTTTATCCATCTGTAAAATCAGAAGAATGCTCACCATACTTATTTTTGTAAAGGGCTTTCAGTTTCTCTGAGAGAAGGTTCTGTAATAAGTGCATAGTCTAATTATTATTCATTAAGGAACATACTTCTTATAAGTAAGGGTTGAATGGTGGAGTATAGATTATAAAATGTATAGTAATTAATTTAAAAATATTGAACGAGGGTTATAATGTAAACACTGCACAAGCATACCACATAATAGCAGCATCTGAAGATAGGATTCTGAATGCTGGAAAGGCTTAAGCCAGGCATAATTTTAAATGACAGTGGTGGATGGGAGGGATTTTCTCAGCATCACCATAGGCCTGCTTGTTGTCCCCTTAAAATTCAGCCAGAAATGATCTGCAATTTGGCAGCATGAGCACTTTCTGGCCCTGAATCTCTCACAGGAATCAGCTACGCTGTACTCCTGTGAAGCCTGGCTCATTGCACACAAGACCAAATACCCACAGGCTGCAACTGTCTATAGCAGTGCTCCGGAGGCAGCTGTATACTAACGTGTGTCTAGAAATTCTTGTAGCCTCTGAGTCATTCTCTCATTTTTCTAGGCCTGCTCCATTTTCTCTTTTGTTCTGGCCACTCTCCCAGCCAACAACAGTACGATGTTTGATGTGCTGCAGATAGACAGAGTTGAACTCTGAGACTGACAAAATCCATAAATGTAACAGGTATGATGTCATGCAAAGACTTAGTAAATTCTCTCCATCTGCTGGATGGGGGAACTGTATTTCAAGCATGTATGGAAGATTGAAGAGAGAAAGACCAACAGTATGTTTCAGTTTGTAGGAGAAATATTGGAAACAAGGACAGAGAATGGATGTTAAATGGGAAAAAGTGACAAAAAAATTAAACAATGTATTGTGGCTTTTATGTATTTATTTTAAACTAGAGCAGTGAGTAAAAGGTGCTGTGCAAGCAGACTGCCCAAAGAGACACACTCTCTGGTTATGCTTCTTGTGAATGGGGATGAAGCAGGTTTCAGGGGGTTCACCAAGCAGGACCAGTGGTAGACTCATTGGGGCCCAGGGCAGAAAGGCTAAGCCCTGCCACACAGGACTGAAGCCTGTGGCCCTGAGCCCTGCCACCCAGAGCTGAAGCAGAAGCCTGAGCAACTTAGCTTCATGGGGGCCCAGGCAATTGCCCTGCTTGCTACCCTCTAATGCTGGGCCTGGCTTTTATATGCAGAAAACAGTTGTGGCACAGATGGGCAGTGGAGTTTTTAGA